TCAGAAAGCGTAACTTACTCTAGCCCAGAAAGACTGGATGCCGGGCATTGAGTTATGGTCGAAGATAAAAACAGACAGAACTATGATATCGATACTCGACCAAAATGTTCAAATGATTACTGCTCAAAAAGACAGATACTACACTCTGATCCGCATGTTTCTCACCTCCCCACAGTGGCAGAAACTGAATGTGAGGTTCCGTACGTACAGACCAAAGACCAAAATTGCCCTATCTCCGTAATTGTTGTCACACTAGCGTCAGTATCCGTCAACACACCCCCTTTTATCAGTCGATATTTCTGAGACAGGATATTGTAAATAAGAACAGTCTATACCGGTGGACGAAATAAAGCATTCAGTTTGAAATTCCAATCACCTGAAGAAGGCCGGAATGTTCAACGGCCGAAACATCGTGAATATGACGATAAAGATGAGGACAACAGTCCGAACAATGTAAATAATGTAAATAATTACATTACCTCATTTCATAAATATAGACAGATCCTGAAGAAGGCCGGAACGTACAACGGCCGAAATGTCGTGAATATGACAATGAAGATGAGGGCAACAGTCCAAACAATGTAAATAATGTAAATAATAACACCCTCTTTTGTTGAAAAAGGGAGTTACTGACCGTACTTTGACTAGGCTTCCTTTATAACTCGGATTGAGGAATCAGAGAGCCGAGTTCGAATTCCAGTCGAATCCATTACATTCACTTATGTACTAATACCTTTGGGAAAGGTATGAATCCTACTGTTTTCCTCTCACCTATGGGTAAATAGCAGAACAGGCCGGGTTTGGATGGCAACTAGTCTACCGCAGAAAGAAATAGCAACCTACTGCGGGAAAAAAATCTGCCTCGTCAGTCATGTATCGAAAGATACATGATTGCCTGTGTGTATCACACGTGTCATATAAGTGACTGAGCTAGTTCAACAGTGAGACCTAATTGCCAATCTAGTAGCACGCTTAAATTTATGCAGATGAGGTACTGAGGAGGCAAACACATCAGAACAGATGCCACGATAATATTTATTAGACGGTGGAGTAATGGATAGCGACTCGTATTGGGGAATCTGCGAGCCGATTTCGAATTCCAGTCAAATTCATTACATTCACTTACGTGCTAATACCCTTGTGAAAGGGTATAAATCTTCTCCCCCTCCCCTTGGGTAAATAGTGGGACAGACAGAGTTCTATATCCTTGGATGGTAACTGGTCTACCGCAGAAAGAAATGGCAACCTACCGCGGGAAAAATCTGCCTCGTCAGTCATGTATCGAAAGATACATGATCGCCTAAGCGTGTATCACGCATGGCACATGACTGACTAGATTGGTAGTTAGGTCTCATCGTTTTACTGTTGAAATAGCTAGATGCAACCGTAAGTTCTATTCTAATACTTTCTTCTCTCGCTTGTCGAACTCCTTTCGGGTTTCTCGCTTTTTTCTTCAAAAATTTAAATGAAACGTCAATAGCAAACTTCTTGCTTCCTAGAATCCGTTCTTTTATTGTCCTTTCTCCTCTTCTCATTCTCTTACATACTCAGTAGCCCTTTAGTGATAGTATCGCCTTGCTTGGAGAAAAATGATAAAAAGAAATGATCTATGTTCAGATAACTCGAATTTCGAACAGTTACTACACTTTAATCCTAGTTGGAAAAGAGTAACTGCCGAACATACAAACGGAATAATAATATAAAATCTCAAGAAGTTTAAATGTGCGCTATTCAGAAAGGATTCAGGTTGAACAGATACTACACTTTGATCTAATAATGGTAATTATGGGTGAGTGGTTTTCCCGAGTGCCTCTTCATCGCCTCTTTTCTCCTTTTGTCTGTGTCTGCCGAAA